AATCTGTCAGTGTTTACAACATAATACTTGACCAACCATTTTTACAACACTTGTTGAGTGTTGAATCTTATTGTGAAGCTGATAGTGACCATGATATACAGAGACGATTACACAGCTTAGCCTCCCCAAATCACCTCCACTCATCAAAAACAACTGTCACAAGTTCATCTATAGAGACGACCCTATCTTCTTCAAAGCTGCAAACCACACACGGGCCAGAATTAAAAGAAAAAAAAAAAAGTGTTGGGCTATTTTCTATGATCTCTATAAAGAGAAGAACCACACACATAGTCACATTCTCCTGAGACAAGATAATCAGAGTAAAGCTCTCACCTAAGCTTCAGAGCTCCACCCCGAGAGTGTACATTAACACAAAGTGACACCGTTACTTTATAACTTACTTATACTTGAGCTATAACTAAAACTAGCTGTGTACTTAATGATACCACTGTGCTTACATAAAGTCTGGGAACAGGGTGACCGACTGCAGAAATGACCTTTAAATTTGTGTGGCACAATCCTGGTTTAAAAATGTGATCATTTGTAAAAAATTATAAATACAGATTTCAATCCCTATTAGGCCATCCCACATTATATTAAATGATCAGGTGGAAATTTTGCTCACTGTGGAACATGCAATATCTCATTTGTTTTTCTTTTTTCACCAAGAACACAGATTGAGTGACCACATATCTAGAACTATGGCTGCAACTAACAACATTAGCAATAAATTTGCTGAATATTCACTCTGTAGATTACCTGGCCTGTAAAATGTCAGAAAATTGATCAAAATTCCCTTCACCCAAAAAGATGTTACAAGAAGCAAAGCAAGAAGCGTTCGCATTTGAGAGCAAATTGGTAGATTTGGGTAATTTTCCTTGAACAATGACAAACCCCTAACCCTAACCAACTATTAAGATTGATGCTGATTAATTTCCTGTTAATAAACTAATCATCTAAACTCTATCTGTGACAAGAATGTTATCATTGACAGACAGCTGCTCAGCCCAGTTAGGATAAATTAGCCTCAATCAAAATAGGAAACACCCTTCGTAAAGAGCAGTGTATTGTTGTTACCACGAGGTAAGATCTAACACAGCCCGCACATGGGAACGATATTAATTTTAATACATTCCTGTGGCAGTTGGATGATGTTTGAGCTGCTCTATTACTCCTATTAGCAAGTAAAGTAAACATCTAATAATTACAGTGTCATCATGTCTAAAACAGTAACTTGACATTGGCCAGCAAAGGATCAGCAAATCAGGCACTTCATTAATGTCAGTGCATAAGAAGGCGACCATCAGCTCCTTCCTGAGACCTCAACTGATTTTGCAGTAATCCCAGTGGGAGTGCATGACCAGGATTCTCTACTCTGTGTCATATTCTCTAAAGTGAGAGGCCAGCACAGATATAACGAGGGTTAACAGACTAGATACATATCACTATGTTGGACACACTTTGAATCAACAACAAAAAAGTGACAAGCAACAGTGAATGCCAAAGTTCACCATATCACTCTGTGGTGGTTTTCCTGGCAGCTCCATGTGGCTGAAAAATGTGAGTCTGGAGAAAGGCTGACAAGTGATCTCTCCCTACAAGTCACAGGTAAATAAAATAGGCCTGTCATGACCTTTTGACCCCGTGTCAAGTGTGTACTTTGAACCAAATTACAGCGTACCTGATTTTTCAAGACTGAATAATTGTTGAAATCAGTATCAATATATACTGATATTGAAACTTCTGCAGTGCATAGTATCAGAATAATCTGTTAAAATGATTAAAACAAAACATTTTAATAATTTAAAATAACACATTTTACTCAAAATCATTATAACACAATGTCAGGGCTGCAACAACCAACTATTTGCATTATCAATTCATCTGCAGATTGTTTACTCAATTAATCAACTAATCATTTTGTCTACCCATTATAATTTCCTTCTTCAAAATGTCTTGTTTTGTCCACCCAACCAAAAAGAAAGGAATCCGCAAATTTCAGAGACTGGAATCAAAGACCGTTTGCCATTTTGGCTTGGAAAACTTGGAACGTGGAAAAATAGTAACAGATTCTGTCTGTCAACTAATGGTTACAGCTCTTTATAATACGATCATATCCTCATGACATAATAATAAGTGGGAATATTATATCATTTCCCAGCCCTAAAAATGCCACTAAAAGTCTACTGAACCTTCCTGACACGATGCAGTCAACATGAACAAAGTTCAGCAGCAACTTGCTGAGTCCCTGCCTTGAATAATTTAGGTTGTGCTAAAGGCAAAAGGAAAGACATACCTGGGTATCTGCAACTGACTAACTGCATGGAAACGTGAGAAAATAAGTCTGTCTGCAGGTTTTACAGGAGAAAAAACGTGTTGTGTGACAGTACAGAGCACTGTTGCAGTGACATGCCTGAAGCCTTCCTGTCAACAATGCAGCAATGATACAACTATTAGTAATGATATTTTAAAAAACAATATCAGTTTCACATTACATTCATACAGGAGTGAAACTCTTGGGTGCTTTCAGGCACTCAGTCAGGCAGTTTTAAAACAATCGTTACAAAGAAGTAGTAGGGATTTTCCTGCAAGGCAAAATGAAAGCAGTCCATTTCTAATGACTGTGTGTTGCAGTCAGGCAAGTTAGGGTAAGCACCTTACAACCCCAGTGAAAAGCCCAGCCCACAAGAGTAGAGTTCAAAGAGATAACAATCTAATCATTTTAACCCAGTTGAGGTGTGTGACTGTGAGCAAATAGTGCAGGGGGTTATTAAAATAACTCAAGGAGACTTTTTCTCAATCTCAAAATCTGAACAACTGTCCTCATAAATCAGAAAACACTTTTCAAACAAATTAAAAACAGAAAACGCCTTGATCTGGTTATCACGAGTCTGTTGTATTATGAGAAAGTTTCATCTGTTCTGTAACTTGTAATATAACCAAATGGAAAGAACAAGAACAACTGAGGGAGATGCTGTGAGAACAGTGGACACATCAAGACCCCAAGACTTGCCTGAGGCAAGTGCATGGTGACCATTCCCAGGCAGTTTTCTTACAGTATGATGAGTTTAAAATCATCACAGTCAACTTACGTTTTGTTGCACTGATGAGGTTCTTCCCATCCTTGTACAGCTCTTTGATAAACCTGTTAGTTTTGTCCAACTCTGCTTCGTGTGCCTTTATTTTGTCCCTGAAGCTGGGGCTGTCCAGATAGCATTCACTAAACTCCAGCGGGTGTAGTCCCATTTTTTCTGACAGATTGATAGCTTCGTTTTCAAGCACAGGAAACTGGTCAAAATGCAGCTTACTTTACAGCTAAAACAAAAAAAAGTATCCTTTACAATGAAATTAGCGCTCTTTTCGCTGGCCGTTTCAAGTCTAGCATAGAAAACATAGCTACGTCAAATAGCAGCAGCTAACTGTGGTTAGCATGGTAACTTCTTCTCAAGTTGGTCTTGTTGGTTCCACAGTTGTCAAATAACGCCAAGAGCAGCGAACAGGTATAACGGTTAAAAAAAAGTAGCAATACGCTAACGGAAGAAGTGTTCATCGGAAGTCAGGCACGGGAGTTGTCAAAAAATCATGGTGGCTGTGTCCAGTTTCTCCTTCCTTCATCAAGAGCACTCCACCTAGTAAAGTGACAGATTGAGAAACTCTGCTGACATCTGCGTGCGTGTAGCAAAACTTCTACCAAAGACTATTCAGCTTGTGCAAGATTGGTAAGTCATATCGACTTCCACCTTTGCTTCGCTTGACCACTGACATAGCAGGTCAAAAGATATCTTTGCCGATATCGATACTTTTTGTTATTACAAGCAGCTCATGTACGATCATGTAAGGGAAAGAAATATGTCGTAATTTATGAGGCGAATGCATTATTAATACAATACTTCTGAATATGTTTTACTTCTGAATCACATAATTACTATTCTCTTTTAATTACTTTGAATCACATGAATGTTTAAACACAAGATAGTTTCGATAACAAATGTTCATTATATGATTTCTCTGAACTAAAGGTATGATCTTTCCACACAACAGCAGCAGAGATGCAAATGTTGCAATGTTCCAGCACTGAGAAGAGACATCATGTCATCATGTGCCCACGATGTGATCAAACATGTGATGGATCCTTATTTTTTCTTTTTCTTTTTTTTTTTTTAGTTGGGTGGACAGATGTCTCCATACACAGTAACTGAACTGATACTGATGAGAAGCAACCATAAATAAATGAAATTAAGCTATAAAAAAGAAATGAAAGAAAACTACCTTGGAAAGGTAAAGTGTAGAATAAAAGTAATTTCGATCAGCCATTTTCATCAACTTACATTAAAAAGAGGTTTGCAACACCACTTTCACTAAGTAATCTGACCCGTGGTGGATGAAGTACTCAAAACCTTTACTTTAGTAATGAAAGGGTTGGCTCCCTTCAAAGGGTCACAAGATACATCAGACAAGACTGTGAGGAGATTAATGGAAGAGGAAAGAAGAAAAAAGAAAGTCGTAATATGCAAATGTGATCAATTTACCTGTTTTGGCCTCAAACTGTTTCTTAAATCAAACAAAATGAGAGGTTCAAATGTCTCTTTGCTAGAGCTGCTAAAAACTCATAGAAATGTGAAACATTAGTGGTAGACATTGGGGTTTTTTTTTTGAGAGGGGGGGGGGGGGTGTAAGTGTTTTGTAGTAACTACAGCTGTAAGATGAACAAACCTATACCCTACTTTTAGAGCGCTTCCTTCATTGCTCTAAGGTAGGGATGTGGATTATCTTGATCCTTTGTACTCTTTGATTGTGCCTAAAGGGTTCGTCTGTCATTGGTTCCACCAGAGGCGTATCTGAGGCACTTACGTTTACTTTAATGCATTTTGCAAATAAATACGGAAATCATTATTCACAATGTATCCTACAGCTATTACGTCTTGGTCGTAGTTTCAATAGCTACAACAGACTTTATTAGTTGCGCCTGCGGAACCGTGTCTCCTTACATGTTTGTTTCGGAGTGGTTAAACGCACGGACACATTTGTGGTTGAGCGGTAGCTAATGTGTGATCTTTAGCAGAAATGTGATTTGCAGTTTACACCATCAGTCTGCAGATATAACAGATATATATATAATTTGAACAGATATGGTAATTTTTTGACAAGAAGCTAAGCTACCACAGTGACTGTCAGAACAGCTTTTCTCATGTGAGCTAACGTTAGGCTGCTGTCAGGAGAAGGACCGTGCGCTACGATGCTAACGACTTTAATGGGCAGAACCCTAACGTTAAAGTCTCTGTTTGCAAAATTATCAATATCGCTTTAATGAGATTAAGTTGCATTGAGTAAAAAACTTAATCACCAGTAATCTTCTCTATCGCACACCCCAGCCTGTGATCTAAAACAACTCACAGTAAGTCAACGTAAAGTCAGTAATGCCTGTAAAGAAGCATGTTTAAATTATCCTTATTTAGGTTTTTTTTTTTTTTTTAATAGAAAGCTATGTTATATGTACTACTTATGTCGACGTTATAATAATTATTATGAATATTTTACAAAGTTATGTTATGTATGGAACCCCCATTCCAATAAAACAAAAATCTGTTAGATATTAGGAATGACAAAAAAAAGCCACAATAACAAGTGAGTAAGTCAACATTACAAAACAGCATGCAGGTTAACTTTACTTTTGAGTCTTGTCTCATAATTGTGACTTAGTAAGTCAAAGTTTGGATCTATGGTCTGAAAAATGTGAGTGAGAAGTACAAAGTTTTTCCTGGTGTCACAATTTTAAAAACCAAACGCACTCTTGAATGGATGAATGAATGTTTTTATTTTAGTTTTCACCTGTTAATGTTTTTTTTTCCTGGCAGTCAATTGGTCCATAAAACAGTCTTCAGTCTTCAAATGTCTTGTTTTCTCCAACCAACAGTCCAAAACCCAAAGATATTCAATTTAGTATAATGTTATGACCAGAAAAAGCAGTCAATTCTCATTTTTGAGGAGCTGGAACTGTTAAATATTTTGCTTAAAAAAATGACTTACGACTAATTGATTATCAAAATATTTGCAGATAGTTTTTCTGCCAACTGACAGGTTCTACAGTGGGACGTTATTGTCCTATTGAAAGTGGCTTTAAGTTATTGTATCATTTCCCATTAGACTTCCCAATCAGTGCCTTTTTTCTTTTTTTCAAGGGATGCCAAATACCAGTGCCAGGCCGAAGCATAGCAGGAGGAACCGCAGGCGACGCAGAGAGGACCCTGCCAGGAACGAGCTGGTCTCTAGTTCCCTAGAAAGCGCCCAGCAGTGCCTGTTCCACCAAGATTATGGAACTGCGTTTGTGCACTACCTTCTTGTCCTCAACCTCGCACCTGTGTTTAAGGACTTTGCAAGGGTAATGACTGTTTACACTACTCTGAAAACCAGTCTATGTACATTCACTGCCAAATATTATGCACACATAGCACAGAAACACAATCACACAATCACTGGCTGTGCACAAAATCACTCCCTTGTTCACTTATTCACTACTCTGTATTAATACACGCTCAGTAGTGAGCTGTAAACTGACATTTTGGACACTTCCCTAATCATCATTGTTTTGCATCCTCACTAACAGCTCTTCAGTCAATCAGTGGAATGCAGAGCATTATGTTGTGGGATTGCTAGCAGAAAGTACTGCATTTGCTCTGTTGTGGGATTTCTGAGGGCACTATATAGTGGCCAAATTTACACACCCAGACAAATAAAATTGGGGACAGTGAATGTGCACTATAATAAATAGTCATTTCTGACTTTGCCCACACAGTTGAGACACTGCTGCAGAACAAAAATATCTTCAAATTTTGGAACAAAATTTTGTGACATCTCCCTTTCAGGAGTCCTTCAGGTTCACTCTCTTCAAATGGGCAGAGGAGCTAGACTCTGTGGGCCGTATTCAGGACCTCTTTAACTGTTACGAACAAGCGCTGGAACTTTTCCCTTCTGACGAGGTCATCCTAAACAGCATGGGTGAACACCTGTTCAGGTACCCTCCTACGCTGCGTAAATGTTATTGTTGTGTAGATCAGTGTGCTGTTCCAATACCTCATCAACACAGGGAATAATGTAGTTTTACCTTGATTAGATAAATGATCTGCTTATCTGGTTTGTGACGATATTTCGGTTCTCCTTTTATTATCCAGGATGGGATTTAGAGATGAGGCTGCAGGTCATTTCCATAAAGCCTTGAAGCTGAGACCGGACTACCCTGAGGCCAGGGAGAACTTCTACCGTGTGGCCAACTGGCTGGTGGAGCGCTGGCATTTCTTAATGCTCAATGACCATGGGAGGAACCAGAAGTACCAGCAGGCCATTCAGAAGGCTGTTCAGAGCGGCTGCAACACTGTACTTGACATAGGTACTGGCACTGGGATCCTTGGGTGAGATTTGAAACCTTTTTTATTTTTTTGAGTTATGGTGTGTATTTTATTTGTATGTTACAACTTGAGCCTTTAAATGGTAGCATACTTATGAAGTTTGTTTTTGTTTTGTCTACAGCTAGGATAGGATGTATGTTTTACTACATGCATGTTTTTGTTCTAATTTCCTGTTCTGTCTGTGAAGTATGTGTGCTAAGAAGGCAGGGGCTGCCGAGGTGTACGCCTGTGAGCTGTCAAAGACCATGTATGAACTGGCCTGTGAGGTGGTGACTGCTAATGGAATGGATGGCAGCATCAAGATCCTCCATATGAAATCTCTGGAGATGGAAGTGCCAAAGGACATCCCACACAGGTACAATTTACACCTAACCCCTCTAACATTGGTCCCACAGACACAATACCTTCATCCCTTTTTGTGTGATTATGACATTTCTGCATGTTTGAGAGCTAAGGAGTTATTTTTTCATGTTTTTCTATCCAATGTCTTGTTTTTCTTAGGGTGTCCTTGGTGGTGACGGAGACGGTGGATGCAGGATTGTTTGGAGAGGGCATTATAGAGAGCCTCATTCATGCCTGGCACCACCTCCTGCTGCCACCACAGGTAACACAATCACAGGACAGGAAACAGAACTCTATCCTCCAGTCGCCATCGTACAATGTTTAACATTTCAGTTCTTGGCATCCAAAATCTATTGCTGCTTGCTACTGACATACAGGTTTTCCCATGGTCATGAAAATCTTTAAAAATCTTTGATAAATATGTTGAATAATATAAAATCTTTGAAAATCACATTAAATTGAGAATACTGATGCCAGGGCTGTGTCACAGTTCATGATGTGGGCTTGTAGGACCTGAGGGCAAGGCAGTGAAATGTTTAAGCATTAAAAAATGGAATAAAGGTCACTAAGATCACAAACTCCTCATCAACTCGAAAAGTCAAACATTTCAAAGTATATCGCCATGAAGCTGCTTTTTAAACATCTGGCAAAGTGTAAATCTCATTGCTAAACTGGAGTTCACAGCACAAGTTGTGACATTTCACTCATTTCAACATGTACAGTAACTGTGAAACAGTGTAGTTGTAATAGTAGTAATAGTCCCATGTTGTGTTGGTGCCATCAAAGAGTCTGAATGTGTAGTATCATTAAAAGTACATGTTTCTTGTCCTAAAGAGAGGTGAGAATGAATTCAGGGAACAGTCTGCAACAGGACGGGTCATCCCCGCTGGAGCCACTGTGTTTGGCATGGCAGTTGAATGCGTCGAGATCCGCCGGCATCACAGGTAGGTCTCTGAGTCAGTCTGTATCCCTGTGAATAGGCTGTGTGGCAGATGAGATATGTTTTCCTGCAAACAGAAGATGTGTGTTTCAGTTGTTTTGTAGCATCAGTGTCTGAACCTAGCATTAAATAGCTTCTTCTTTTCTTCTTCTTTTTTTTTTTTTTTTTCATACAGGACGTGTGTGTCAGAGGTGGGAGGCCTGTCCATGGCTGCAGCCGGGGAGCTCCGTAGTCCAGTGAGCTGCAGCTCTGAGCCGGATGACTCCATGGAGCCGTACACCACAGAGAGACTCAGCAGACTGCCGGGAGGATATAAACCTCTCACTGAGCCCTTCACAGCCCTCAACATAGATTTCAATAATGTGCAGGTGAGCAGAAACATCTCTGACCAACTGATGCTGATAAAATCTGTCTAATATATCATCCGCTCAACATGTAACTTTTAATGATGCAACAATGCAGTAGATTCATCCACTATTAATTTAATGTGTTTTAACTTTACCCAACTTTTGCGTCATCTTTGTATCTGATCCTAATATTCAGCTTGTATCTGTTTGCCTAGAGTCAAGCAGAATAATGAAACTGTGAGAAAAATCATTTATTTACCTGACCATATGTCTATTGTCCCCATGAAACTAACACACTGGCTGCCTCACAGGCTTAGATATTGCACATGAGTGGCTGCTCATTATTTAGCTGTAACCCTGCAGGGATTGTCTGATTTATTGGCTCCCAGTATGCACCTGGCAGATCGGAAAGATTGTGTTTCTACCTGTAGGATAATGTGTTGATACTGTAAGTTTATCCACACATGTTCAGTAGGGACTTGCAGGCAAAACCTACCCTGACGACAGAGCTGTGAAACTGTCCAGAATCTGTGAAGCAAACTCACTTAAGCAGAGAGATACTTGGTCTTACATGCACTGCTTTGTGCTTCAGTTAGATCTGCTGGTAGATACATTGGCTACATGCAGATAAAACAAAACAACAAAAAGACAGAACTGAACTGTTTGTAAATCTGCTAAGCCCAGCTTTGAGTCCATGTGTGTCCCTCTCCCAGGAATATGATCAGAGCAGGGCTTCCAATTGAGTAAGTTGTGTTTTCTTCCCCCACGTTTGAAGGGTTTTCACTGAGGAATATTTTGTTTAAGTTGGTTAGTTTGTCTGTTACCCCTATAATTTACCATTGAAAGGGTTTGGTTATTATACTGTATGTCACAAAGAAATATTATTATTTAGATTAATGTCCTCAAGCTCTTAATTCAAACTAGTTTTCCTTATAGAGTATCAGGGAGGTGTGAAATTTTCTATTCTTGCCATCACTATTCACTGGTTTACCTGCAAAGTGCCCACAGAGCTCCAGCCAGTCAGGGTGGATCTGAAAGTATTGGAGAGGATGATGTTTGCTTTAGCCGTCTGTGGTAACACACAGCACTGAACTCTGTGTGACAGAGATGCGTGCAAGGAAGGCCACAGTTAATAACAAGCTGGTCTGATTAGGCTGGAGAGGAATATGAAAACTTCAGAATACTGATATAAATATGTAAGACTGCTGTGCACATATAGTGAAATGCAAACACATTTAAATGTAGATCATTATACTGCTCTGACTCAACGAGCAAGTTGGGATGTAAAAGCTACAAAACCTATTACATCCAAACTATCTATGAAATTGCCTTTTAAGGAACCAGGTCTGTTTTTATACCAGTGTATATGAAATCTTTTTCTAAAACTTTTCCAAAACTTCAGCTTTAACTGTTGTATATTGGTGACCTGTAGGAACTGGAGGGCCTGAGCTCCAGGGAGGTTCAGCAGGTCCACCTGCCTGTCCTTCAGCAGGGCGAGCTGGATGCTCTGGCTGTGTGGTTCCAGCTCCACCTGGATGAGGAGAGCAGTCTGTCCACTGGACCCCAGGAGGACACCTGCTGGGAGCAAGCCATCTACCCTGTGCACACCGCCAAGGGTAAGACACTGATAAACATGCGGGAGACAACGTGTTCATTGACTGCTATATATTCACTGTTTATAAACTACTGGCCACTCTGACTTTTAATTTGAAGGTTTGGTTTAAGCAACACAGTCAATCTGTATGTCCAGGGTATTTCTCTTGAATCATGACTAGTTGTTTCAAATTCTCATGAACCAAACTTGTTTATAAAATAGTTTTTCTCAGCTTGCTTGCCTGTATTCTCTATTCTGTTTGTCATGCATTTCCACGTTACATCAGATGAGGGCAGTGTGTGTTGTAGACTGGATTGTTTACACCTTTAAGCTGTTTTGAATAATACCAGTGATACCTGCAGGAAATATTTTAGCTGACAGTTAGTACAACTATTTTACTACATCTGACAATTTTTTACTGTAATAGATAACGGCACATAAAGATTCTCAAAATTCAGAAAGATTATGCCACAAAATCCATTTAATACTAATAATACATTTACTGAAATTTTAAAGCATTAAAAGAATATGTAACTGTCCCAAATGAATATAACACCATTTTGATGAGCTTTGAGACAATACAGCTATTATAACAAAGTAAAACTGATATTTGTTCAGCAGCGTGCTTAAATTGCTTTCTCAGCATTAAATTAAGGGTGCTAAATATCCCAAAAAGCACTGTACGCTCTTTACTTTGCAATCAGACCCAGGCCACTGTGAACTTAATAGCCACTGACATGAGGTGACATGTTCCAGTTGGCATCACAGTACATCATCTTTCAGACAGGACGCAGCAGCATTTCACTGCACTGCTAATTGGCCCGGGCAGCGTCAGGGGAGCCGCCACCTTTCCCGGTGATCACCAACATCCGTTTCCCGGTCGCTGTGACGTGTGTGCCGTGATCGCCTGTGACACTCTTTAGTGTTCATGAAATTCTTATAGGCAATAAATATGCATTTTTCCCAAATGCCTCTGACGAGCTGCGCACTGACATGAAGACATGAACAGATGTTATTCCTGCAGGAATCCTTTCTGTGCCTCTCCCCCTCTCTCTCCGTGCCCAGTCCCCTGAATCTCATTTCTCCGCAGGGTTCGCTCTCCCTTCCTCTCCTCTTTTGCTCTCCCTCTCTGCCTCTTCCCTCTATTTCTACAACCATCTAAAAATGTTACCAATGATGCTTCTTTCATGCCAGCTTAAAATTAGAAACGCTTAAGCATTGCATTATGAATAACTATTACTATCATCATTTTCCCTTCCTGTACAGCAGGTGTGGATAAACCCTTTAGCTCTATCCACATAGCTGGATATCATTTGCAGTTTTTTGAGATTTGGTATTGACACCAAAATAATACTTTATTCTATAATTTACATTCAGTAATATGTATGTATGGTTGATGTAATGGTGATTGATGTAATTTCTCAGTACCCTTGCTCTGTGTTTTAGTCAGTAGAAATAAAACTCATCACAAAAATGGCAACATTTTTATTTCTATCAGGAAGTCCGTTAAATATTGAATAATAAATAAACAAATCTACACATTTGACCAAATATCCAATGCCAACTTTCAGTTGATAGTATTTGATACTATGGACACATTTCAGTCTGAATCGAAAAAGTATTGAGTTTTAATTCCACGTCCTACATTGTTCCGATAAAGTCAAGTTTCCCTTGTTGTTTCTTCAGGTTTTGTGCTGAAACCTGGAGATGAGCTGATTGTCGAGATCTCCTGCCGAGATGCCTACCTGAGGCTCTGCAGTGTCGCTGTGCTGAGAGAGGGTCATGAGATGCGTCTGGACAAGCGTGTTGACTCGCGGTACTCTGGAAATCCCAGTTCAAACCCAAACCCAGAGGCAGAACTGTGCAGTGCGTTAGCATGTCTTCAGACTGGCCAGAATCAAACCAAAGACTTCTGCATGCTGGAATGTTCAGAAATGGCGCTCCTCAACAACCAGGAGTACCATCAGAGTTTTTGCAGCGCGTTAGGAAAACTCATGTCTCAGCTGAAGGTTAAAAGCCGAAACCGAGAGCAAGGATCAGGTGTTCAGTCTGACAGCAGTGACCTGCTGTACGTGCTGGATGTGTCAGAGGGCTTTTCTCTGCTCTCTCTCATCGCTGCCAGCCAGGGTCATGTAAAAGCCTACAGCTCTGTGGAAAAGGACAAGCAGCAGGAAGTGCTAAAGAGACTGGCTCGCTCCAATAATGTCTCAGAACAGCATCTAGAGTTCTGGCTCAACCACATAGAGGACGAGCACGGGATGCTGAAGAGGCCGTCCAGGGAGAAGCTATGGAGTGCCATCATCCTGGACTGTGTAGAGACCTGTGGCCTGATAAGACAGAAGCTGATGGAGAAAGCTTCACTGGCCAGGTAAGTGTAGCTAGTTGACGACAAGAAGAAATATGAATGACTATTTGAGGGTAATATTTAATGAAAATATATTTGAATGATCCATACTAGGTGTCTGCTGGAGGAAGGAGGACACATTTTCCCAGAGCGGATTGTGGTGTATGGTATGCTGGTGGAGTCAGACACATTGCTGCTGGAGAGTGCTGTCCAGGGCCAGGAGCCGACACTGGGTTTCAATATTGCTCCCTTCATCAACCAATTCACTGTAAGTATACCAACATAAGCTACCATGTATCAAGGTTAACTTATTTATGGTATTTACTCTGCATGTAAAAATCACTACAGGGTTCACTACAGGGTTTTTGATGTACCATGCCACTTAGTGTGTGTTTGTGGGTTGTTTGGTTTTTTTTTTTTTTTGTATCTTTGACTTGAAAAACTAAAGATGTATATATGATAATAATGTATATATACATTATGAGTCACATGATGCCAAATCACATCTTGTGCTTGCTTCTCTAATTTCACAGGGAGGTTACATCTTGAGCAACAGAGTAAAAAGGGAAAGATGATGGTGTACTGTCTGCGGACCATGAAATGGCAGTTGAACATCAATGTTACACCTATTTATTAAACATAACTTCTAAATTAAAAACAATATTTTTTTAATTCCTGCTCGGTAGGGACAAATTTACGTTGCAACTTCTGAAAATATGGCATAAAATGTAATGCACTATATGTTAGCTGCTACAGTTTGATCAGCTTAGAAACAGTGTCTCTGCTCAAGAGGTTTGCATCGCTTGCTCTTTTGTTAACCCCTGCATCTGCTGTGATAGACATCACATGGTTACTGGTTTCATCCAATGTAACTGCACTGTTTTATGTTCTGATGTCTGCCAGTAACTAAGTTCAGTCTAACTAACCGATCAGTGTCAAGTTTAGCCTTGTAAGTTGCCAGTGGACAGAGTCAGGTGACACTGGCATGGCACGATGGTAGTTCAACACAGATTGACTTTCAGTGTATGTGACAGTTGATTGATAATGACTAATGAATTGTTGCTCACCTCCACAGTGGCTTGACCTGGCCTCACTACTCATCACTATTTAACATAACTTAAAATGATTATATTATATAAAATAAAATAATATAAATAGTACATATTATATTGTATAACACTGTATATTGGTTGTCATAATATCACTATACTATTATTATGTTATTTTATACTATTTTATATTCTTATATTTTTATTGTAAGATATATCACTATTACATCGATAGGATCTCATTACTATAGTACTACTATATATTTTTATTATTATCATATTCTCTATAATAACATTCTTTCCTCAATTATATATAGGTTACATCATTTATTATCACAATACTCACTCTGTCCCTATACATGCCACCATGCCATGCTCTTTACCCCCCTCACCAGTCTACCCACAATCACAAAACACAGCTTGCACATATATTACAGACTCATACCACACACATCATATTCTTGTTAATTTTACATACATTGTCTATAACTGTTTTGGTTTTTGTCAAAGATGCTTTAGAAGATGACCATGTCGGTCCACTAGAGAGCGCTGATGTTTATTTATTAACCCAATTTATGGGATTCTGATCAACAATGTGAATGTGAGAAGTTTATAAAAAGGAATATTGGCTAATATATTGTATCAGTATTATGCTCAAAAATCCACTATCAGTTGGGCTTTTGTATACACATTGTATATGCTCTATATACTATTTATTATTTAACTAACTTCCTTAAAATGGATGTAATATTAACATTATAAATGCATCTGATTACATGAACAGGAGGCTGATGGCATTAACATACTTCTGTTGTACTGTTAGTAGTTGATTTAGTATAATTCTTTCATTTATAAAATGTGTTCTTACAATAAAAAGTGGATTAACCACTGTAAGCCCAGGTTAATTCAAAGGAAATCACATTGAAACACACTTAAACCATATTGTTGAACTGAAACTTCTTCAGTCTTCATAACAGAAGTTGCGAAATCTTCCTATTGTACATCTCAGGCCACTGGTATCTTGTATTCTGTCTCATGTTTCTGATGCAACCATCAATCTCATGTTCCTGATGCAACCGTCAATATTGACAGTTTTCACATACAGTATGCTGTGTTTGTAAGCTTGCATCATTCACATTCAGAGTTCGTGCATTAGGTGCAAATATGTTGCCTGAGGTGTTTGTTAAATAAGATTTGCCATATAGTGCAATACTGTAAAAGTACGAAAATAAATCTCTGCTTATATTTTGCTTGGCCAAGATGATAAGTAGACTGTGCATCCAGTTCTGTTTTCTACCATGTATGGGTTGAGTTTTGTTGAACAAGGTAATTCACTTGGAATACCAAGGTCCTGGACTGTGTTTTCTGTTGTGCACTCCTCTTTGATGTGTGCTTCCCAGCTGCTTTAAAGAAGCTGCAAAATCCCTTTGAATTCTTTTCCTTTATTTGGTCTGGTAGTTATCTTTTTTTTTTTTTTTCTTCTTCTTCTTTTTTTTTTTCCCAGTATCATGTTTGTGCTCTAATTTCGCATGCCCCTCACGGGACGGTCGTTTGTTTTAACAGATGTTGTCTTTGAAGCCCTCAGTGGAGGGCACTTTCTAGCACAACTGTCACACAAGACACAACACACAGCTTGGCCCAAGACATTCCTACCTGAATCCATCAGTACACATTACATCAAGCACATCAAACAGCAGGCTCTGAGGTCTACACAACTGTGACAGGGAGGAGGAAAGATTCTTTTGTTCTGCAGTAAAGGAAACAGTGACACTTTCTGTGCTGCCACTTTGGTCTCCCTCAGCTTTTAAGTCTGCCACCCTGCAGCCACAGCCTGTTTGTCAAGTTTGGAAGAGTTTGAAGTGGAAGATTAGTTTCTAAGCATCAGTCAGTGATTGAGTGATTATCCGCTGACACTAGCAATTAAACCTAATGTGGATAAATACTGGTTTGTGAGAAAGCGAGCCCACATCAATTGTGAGTCATCTTCTGCAGGACTCTTAATACACTGAAGTTTTATTTATTAATTTATTATCCGTATCCAAATCTGTACTTTGAGCCAAAATAAGCAACTTGGATTTTTCTCTTTGTTATAAGAGAATTAATAAGTAGTTTCTCTCCATTTTCCATAACAGTATTTATAATGTCAGCAGAAAGTCGTTTCTAATGTCATCTGCCAAGAACTTATTAACATTTGTGTTCATCTTTTGTGTATTTAAGGTACCAGTCCATGTGTTTCTGGACTTTTCCACACTGGAGTGCAGGCATCTCAGCGAGTCTGTGGAGCTCTTTGTTCTCGACCTCATGGATGCCAACGCGAACTACACCAACAGAGAAGTGAAGGTAAGGCACAAATTGGACAACTGAGTGCTGCCAACATGCATTGACTCTGCTAGTATAGTTCAAAAATCCCTGACCTACTTCTGGCACATGAACATACAGCACCAAAAAACTAGAAATGAGTCGTACCTACAAACACAAACCTCTAACATTACTTTACTTTCTAATTTTGTGTCTTTGGTTCCTGCATGAATTCAGCCCAAAACTCACTTTTTGAATTTTCAGAAATAAAACTTTATGCCTGGAACTGCCAGTTTTGCTACATTAAAATATTTTTTATTTATTTTTTTGTTGTTGAATATTTTATACTTGTCTCCAACACGGGTCTATTGACATTCATTAAGTGATCTAACATAAAGTTCATGTTGGATCACTGGGATTCCAAGGATAAATTCACATTGCTCCAAGGAATTTCTTGGTAAGGGTAGAATTACAACAAGCCATTATCTCATTTTTATTTTATTTTTTTTGCATGTCTCATATTGTTTTTAAACCAACAGAAGCAAAACATAAGAGGTGGTTCACAGTGAACGAAAGTGACTGAGAGTATATTAGTAACTGACTAGTCTTTTGTACCATTAAATATCTTGTTAAACCCTAATCTCTGTTTCCCAGGTTCAGGCTACATCTGCAGGCAGAATAACAGCAGTTCCTTTCTGGTACCACATCTACCTGGACCAGGAGATCAGTGTCAGCACCCTCAGCCAGAACTCTCACTGGAAGCAGGCGGCTGCTGTGCTGCAGCAGCCCATAGAAGTACGAGCCGGAGACTGGGTCCATCTCGCTGTGAAGCTTCACAAGAGCACCATCTCTATATCGGCCCATGTAGACAGTTCCCCCAGGCCGATGGTGTAATAACCGCTTACACTCTAGCTTTGGTTTTATTTTTATATATTTCAAGTTAAAATTAGATTATTGTCACATACTCTGTAGGGTATTTATTAATACCAGAAAGGGATTTCCCTTCTCCATTGTCATTTTTCACAAATGTAATACCAGTCTTCAAATTTCCTCGTTTCCCCAGACACACAGGGTCTCTGTTTAGAGATTTACCTGCATGACCCAAACTCTTGTACCGGTGGGAAGCAGATTCATGACAAAGACTTTTCTAACTATGAACCTTCATGTTTTTCTTTGTAAATTTTGCTGTAAAGTCAAAGGACATTTATAATTTGTACTTATAACATTTGTAAGTATATAATATAAATATTATAGTTGTCCCTTGATTATGGCTGCAGTTGTTTTTGTAAAGATGTTTGTGGGTATCAATAAAAAAAAGAACAATAAATGTGTGACATTTCCTTAATAAACAATAGAAAAAAGAAATCAGTGAAAATGTAGTTAATCTGATTTATTGAAGAGACTGTCAGATGGTTTAAATTAAAACATGGAAAAATTACATCAGCTCTGATGTAAACCTGTCAGTTGTATTTAAAAAATAAAATAAAATCACATAAGGCAATGCAACATGTTCGGGCTGGACATGATGCAGATTATCTTGATATGATACATTTATGTATTCACTGACACAACCTGATATCCTACAATGTTCATTAAACATGTCAATATCCCTGCACATATGACAAATAAGCTCAGAAAATCTATGGGAGAAAGAAATGGCTTAGGTGCTTAGCTGCAAAGTTATTTCAGCTTAAAGGCTAAAAAGGATGGAAAACTTATCATCAAATAAAACTGATCCTAGAGTATAAATGCTAAACTGATGTAGTGTACAGACTAGTTCCATGGCACATAGAACAAGGCATCTGAGAAGACTAGAGATTACATTTCTATTAAACACTATAGAGTGAGCTATATGCAGTAAAGCACTGATAGGAATTTACAAGAATGTGCTGATTGTACAGTTTCAGACTGAATTGTGGTATGTTGTTTTAATACTTGGACTGTACTTGCACTATCTGCTCAACCCCTTCGGAAATACATTGTATTAACAGTGACACTGTAATGATGTCACACATCTTTCAGCAGGTATTAGATCTAAAATACTTATCACAAGTTTATTTTTCCACTGAATAAATTTAGTCTCAACTGTGCATCCCGACAACTTGTTGCTTCTGCTCTTTTAATCCCTTCCCGCAGGGATACATATCTTCTGCTGGTTAGGACCAGTCTAATGTGCTTTAGTATGGTAGATTTTCATTCATATTTACTAACGTCAATCTATGTCTTAAGAAAATCACTATAAAGCAAGATACAATATGAAGATAACATTTGTATTTCAAAAGTTGCATATATCTTTTTATCATCCGTCACATTTGAGATTGCGATATGATAAAATTGTGAAATCATTTTCTACTTGGAAAACATACATCTTCATGCTTCACTCAGACACCAGAAGGTTTCAGGTAGACTCTCATCTTAAGAAACATGACGACACAAACACTGGGTTCTTTGAAGAAAGGTGTGCTCTTTGGGACACACATTAAAACTGACTGTCAGTTATTCCCAATTAGTGGATAAAAGCCATTCTGGCATATACTTGCTGAGTAACATAACTCCCTACAACAAAACTTCCAAAAACTATTTGTTTTATACTAATCCTTTAGTCACGTAGCCATAACTTCACCGAACATTCTTGGAGCTGTCACCGGCAGAGGTCCATCTGCTTTTGCCTTTGTCAGCAAATGTCTACAATTACTTAGTGGATGTGCCCTTTCAAAACAACAGTTTTGTTTAATGTTGCATCAGTAAAGTAATGTCTGAAGGAAAATGGCAAGGCTGTAATTGGGTCCTGCCCAACCATGTATGGTAGAGTCTGTTGGTGACATCAGCCTTAATGAAAGGCTAGGTGATCACGATGAGATCTGCCTCTGTTGGTTCTTTGGTTTGGTTGGTCCTTTCTTCTTCCTGGGCTTCTTCGGGTCTGGCCTCATATCCTTCATCCCAAGGGGCTGAGCTGAACCCGGCAGGAGCTGACAAAGAGTGCTGTGTGAGGGTTCTCCCCAGGCCCTGGTACTGACCATTGGGTGATACTGGGTTGGATGCCGCCTCGGTGATGGCATCTTGGGAGCTCGATGAGAGCAAACCAGATCGCTCACCATCATTCTGCGCCTCGCCAAAGTAAGACTTCCTTGGACGACCCATTACTGTTCTCCCTGTTAATGAGGACAAAGAGTGTCTTTACAGTATTCTCAGTGTTGGATAATATGCCAGATGTACTTACAAAAGTACATCAGTAGCCAGGAGGCACTTACCAACATTGCGGACTTGTTCAGAAATGTCTGCTCTGACATCAGAGATGTCCCACATTGCCATGAAAGAGTCAAAGCAAGATCCCTCCTCAGCCTCCTGGATGTAAGGCTTGTAGGTGAAGCTGAAGTGATGGGCAATGGCTGCCAGAAACATCTCCACACATATGATGAAATCCTGACGGAAACAGGACATTCGGTAGTGTTGTAGTTAGGCAGTAAAACCAATGTCACATACTTGTAACATGTCAAACAATTATGATTCACTTATATGCATTTCTTACATAAACTCAGAAATTATTATCACTTCTTTTTCAAATAGATAAGCTTCAGCTTACCTGTAAACCAGTAGCAACGGCCTCCACACTTTGCCAGTCCCATGTACGTTTCTCTGAGATAATGCCCACTTTCACCAGTAGAGCAATGAACACAGCTTGCCTGAGAGAGTTTACAAAGAAAGTAGCAACTTTACAGCCTGATGTCACGGTCTATGTAAAGCATATGTCACCAACATGTATGAATATAACACAAAATGTGATATATACAAAATCTACATTTCTTTTAAGAATATCCAGATATATGAAGGGACAGTCGTGTCATTATGTTTGACACACTGAGAATTACCAGAAAGAGACGAACACAACCATTTTGACACAAAGGAATTTGCCCACTGGTTTGATTGGACTCAGCTCCTCTCTCAGGGCCCTGTAGAACAGCACCAGGCAGTACATGGCAAACTAGATCAAGAGAACACATACAAAGAGAAATCTTGTTTAAAATAGGCTGCTTGTATTCTGAACATCTCTTGACAAACGGTCCTTAATTGAGACCCATTTAAAAAAAAACAAAAAACAGTGGCATCGTTACCAGCTGTGACATATTGTTAAAGATGACCAGGTACGTCCATGCATTTGTTGAACTGAAATTTCCTTCATCATATACTCCACACAGCTGACAGATCCTAGGAAGAAGAAACAGCCACAACAGCCATTAATACAAATAGTGAACAAAACGTTGTCATTTGTGTAAAAGAATAAAATCAAGTGCATGAATATCAAAGCTTACTTACAAGGCAATCACTGTTGTGACGGGTCTTACAACTGTGTACTGCAACACTCCCAATTTGCATCTCAACAGTAAAACCCTGCAGTGGAGATGTATGATTTGAATTAGAAAGAAATTGGTTTAACAATATCTAATTTGCTGTCAGTAGGAATCTATTGAATTTAAGACCAAACAAACTAAACACCCTGGTCATAAGAAACATGGTGAGTGGATCTTTGAGAAGACTGTAATGACAACATATTAACACGGAACTGCGTAATTTTCCTGAACAACTATTCAGTCAGTCATGGTCTATGACATCCACACAGGAAATGCAACAATACTGTCAAGGGTTAAAAAAATTTAACAGGGTAGTACTATTAAATACAAATTTAATAAATGAGACTAATGCTGCCAACCTTTAGGTAAATGTCAATTTGTTCTCCTTCAGTTTTGAAGGAGAAGGACAAAATTAACTACACACAGGCATGTTAACCAGTTACTGATGTTGCCTGACTGAGGCTAATTTGAAGCTGGTGACTGTCATTGCTTTGTTTGCTTTGGGGAAAAAACACTTCCATCTCAACATTTCAGTGCCTTGAGACAAAGTCAAACAAACTACATGTACATGAAATGAACGCATCGCCTTTTATCTCTGAGTCACTTTCATTGTTTCTTTTCTTTAAAACTGTAAACACTTCAATGAAATCAAGTAATATCAAAAGGTACAGTGTTTATGCCATCAGTTACACAAAAAGACCAATAATAAAATTGATAAATATTGGAAAGTCAGTTAGATCTAGTTAGTCATATGACTATGGCCAGACTGAGCATTTTCAAGTTTGTATGATGTGCTTGCTGCCACATAATAAGGTCAGCCTGTTAGAAAGTATGACAAGAAAATATTGGGGAACATCCAGTTTGGTATAAAAGGAGCCCACTTGGATTGTATGTATACACGTCTGTAAAAATTGTGCTATTATAAAGAGAACTTACTCTCCCATTGGCCATGGTGGGCAGCAGCAGAGAGGTGGCAGGTGTTTCTGCTGCTCCTGAACCTCCAGCATCATCACCAGGCTGGGGTACTGATTTTCCAGGTAGTTAAGCAAGAAGGTCATGAAGTTGTAGATGACGTAGGCCTCGTAGCACTCTCTGCACGTGTCCACGTAAATTGCTATTCTGGGGTATTTCAGTGCAATCCACTAAAAAAAAATCAAAGTGATTACAGGGGGAGAAGTGAAAATTTAGAATTGTCAAATAGCATAATGCATAAAAAGTAAGGTTGCTGCTTGAGGTAATGTCTCAAGGGAATGGTGACATTGCAACAAAAATCACTCCAGCAAAATGTAATTTCGTAGACACATACATTTGGTCTCCATAATGGCTTTGATTATATAATACACAACTTACACTATCCAAGCTGTAGATTGGGACCATCCATAATATCCTAAAAACAATAAAAACACAAGCATTTAAAAAACAGTTCATTTAGTTTAACAGACTATTGCTCATGAATGACATGCATTTTGACACCTTTACCTGATTATAGGTTTCTGAAGCTCTGGCTGAGTGTAGTGAACCAGATGCTGGAGAATGCCCCATAATGATATTGGTATGGTCATGAAAACAAATATCCCAGCAATGAACCATGCCTTATTATGCGTGCCAACCTGTCATTAAGTGGAAAGAGACAGTCAACACATAATTGTGAGACTTAGCTCTGCATTAAAATCTGGAAAATCCAGCTCTAAAAATAGCAATGCAACTTTGTAAAATTACTTTACTTCAAAATTAACAGTAAAAAGTGTTATTTCACTCTGAATTGTAAAGGATTATTAGTATAAATGAGTATGAAATTACTGTAATGTTACTCAAGTTAAAAGAAAAGTACCTCAAAACTGTATTTAAGTACAGTATTTTAGTACCACATGTACTACTACATTTTACCTGTGTTAAACCTACACGGCTCCTAGAAACTAAATTAAAAGCAACATGTCAATCACATCAATCGACTGCTGGAACTG